AGGAGGAGAACCTTTACTGCTCTGACTGAAGGTTCTGCAGCGACACAAAGGTTCTGACTGGTTCTGAAGCAATCAGATCCGTTCCAGCAGCGTGACGTTAGTCCAGCTGAGTCCAGCAGAGTCCAGCTGGTCCAGCTGAGTCCAGCTCGGTCCAGCTGGTCCAGCAGAGTCCAGCAGAGTCCAGCTGAGTCCAGCTGGTCCAGCAGAGTCCAGCTGAGTCCAGCAGAGTCCAGCTGGTCCAGCAGAGTCCAGCTGAGTCCAGCTGAGTCCAGCTAGTCCAGCTGGTCCATCAGAGTCCAGCTGGTCCAGCTGGTCCAGCAGAGTCCAGCTGAGTCCAGCTGGTCCAGCAGAGTCCAGCACAGTCCAGCTGAGTCCAGCTAGTCCAGCTGGTCCATCAGAGTCCAGCTGGTCCATCAGAGTCCAGCTGGTCCAGCAGAGTCCAGCAGAGTCCAGCAGAGTCCAGCTGGTCCATCAGAGTCCAGCTGGTCCAGCAGAGTCCAGCTAGTCCGTCAGAGTCCAGCAGAGTCCAGCTGAGTCCAGCAGAGTCCAGCTGGTCCATCAGAGTCCAGCTGGTCCATCAGAGTCCAGCTGGTCCAGCAGAGTCCATCAGAGTCCAGCTGGTCCAGATTAGTCCAGCTGGGTCCAGCTGAGATGAAATACCTGCTGAACCAGCAATGATGTGAAGCTTTAGAGTTGGAGGAGTTTCCCAAAGGGCTTTTCACTTTTTTTCACTTTTCACTTTAGAGATGCTGCAGCCTCAGAACCTTCTTGTCCCAGTAGAACCTTCCAGGCCTGGATGTAAACCATGAACCCGTCTTGACCTCTGACCTTTAGCGGGCAGATTGGTGGACGGAGACCAGCTGATGAACAGGGAAAAATAAACCTCCTTTAAAGGAACGAATGCGGTTCAGTTTCAGATGAATAGAAATCTTTCTGGACTCGTCTGCTTTCCTGAAACGGGGACCGATGGTCCGCTCTGTCCCCCGTCCTCCTCAGGTCTGATCGTCTGTCTTCTAGCTATAAACCTACAGCTGGTCTGTCTCCTCTGGACTCCTGGTAGTCCAGAGGAGACAGACCAGCTGTAGGTTTATAGCTAGAAGAACGAAGCAGAGCATCTGAAACCAGTGAGACCAGTATGAAGGACTTGAAGCAGGAACATCACAGCTTTCCTCCTGTCATCCATTAAAGTCCTCCAGGCCGCCATGATGTTTGGTTCTGATGTCATCAGTGAGACGGTTTCTAATGACGCAGCAGAACCTGGAGTTCAGCAGAGCTGGTCTGTCTGGATGTGATGGTTGGTTCTGACCCGACTCTCTGACTCAGAGGCTCCATCAGATCACAGGACAGACGCCAGAGGACAGGGCGTCTCTGACCGTGTCTCTGACTGGATGACGAGTCCTGCTCTGGTGTCCAACGCTGCTGTTTGTCTCTTCTCCTGCAGGACGAGTCTCTGCAGCGGCTGCAGAAGGAGTCTGAGATCCTGCAGAAGACGTACGGCCATTACTTCGACATGACGCTCATCAACAATGAGATCGAGGAGACCATCGTCCTCCTGGAGGAGTCCATGGACCTGGTGTCCTCCTGCAGCCAGTGGGTCCCGGTGTCCTGGGTCTACTGAAGGACATCTGCTGCAGCAACAAGGAGCCAGGGGTCTAAGAAGTCCCTTTGGACCGAAGACAGAGCTCCGTCTGATCCAGACCTTCACCTGAAGCTCCTGAGGGGGGGCCAGTCGGCCAGTCGGCCCCCGCCGTCGGCCCCCCGCCGTCGGCCCCCCCGCTCCCGGCCCGTCCCGTGAACGTTGTCCTGTCTCTGCATCTTTGTAGATGTTCTGTGTTCCTGCTCTCCAGGAGGCTGAAGCCCTCTGCAGCGTCCTGGTTCTGATCCGGTCCTGCAGCGTCCCGCTACCCGATCACTGACTGAGACCGAGGCTCTCTGCATGTGGACGCTTTGGGTCGCTGTTCTGGTTGGTCCACTGGTCCGTGGGTGGACGTCCTGGTCCCCCTGCTCGTCCCTCCGTTTCTATTCCACAGATTTCTACGTCTGTCAGATTGTTTGTAAGAAAATCAAATAAAGTTGATTTGTTTCTCAATGTTTCCTGTTTTTCTCAGAAACCGATTTGATTGGTCTGAAACTCGGAGGCAGAACGGCGTCACGCAGCTACCCTAGTCTTCCTCAGGATGAAGAGCAGCTGTTTTCTCTGCAGCAGCTCAGTGAGGTCCAACCTTCCTGCTGTCATTTCTTTGACTATGGAGGTGATTTTTCACCACAGGGGGGCAGCAGACATGAAGGAAACAGAGAGCCAGAAGGTCCTGCTCGGTTTCCATGACGACGGAAACTTCCTGCTGGAGGTCATGAGGTCTGGATGGCAGGAGGAGCGGACGCAGGAAGTTCTGGTCCTGAATTTAACTTTCTCTTCTTTTTATCTGTTCATTATATTGATTAAAACCAAGTTGAGATAAAATGAGATGTTTGGAGTTGAAGAGAAGAATCGTGTGAAGTTGATGTTTGGAGATGCTTCATTAACATCCAGGTGAACCAGGCCAGAACCTGCAGCTCAGAACAATCTGCTCTCCTCTCTGATTAGAAGCATCCAGATCCTGAACATCGTGTTTCACTCATGCTGCTTAATCCCAGATTATTAATATCTGAAACAAGATGGGGTCAAAGTTCAAGAGCAGAATGGACGTCCCCTCAGGACCATCCGTCTCTAAAGTCTCAGGCTGTGAAGGAGCAGATGGACATCCCTAACGGATCTGTCCATCATCATCCTCGCCTCCTACCTGCAGAGTAAAGACAGGATGAAGATGTTTGAACGATGGCCGCCTCTATGGCTGACGGTCCGTTCTTCATCAGGCAGGATGAGCTGCTTCATCCCAGGTGGATTTTATTTACCGCCACCGGATCCGGTCCTCTATCCGCCATATTGGAAACGTAACCTCCGGTCTCAGCGAGCAGAGCTACGGCGCCGCTAATGTTAGCCTCCAGGCACCAACCTCATCAGGCTGATTATTTTAGCATGCTAACTCTGCTAGCTCTATAGAAACCAGTCTTCTAGAGGCTGAAGCTCCTGCAGTAGATCTGGTGATTTAACATCTACTGCACTCATATCTACGTGTGATCGACACACATGGAAAACACCAAAGGAAAACCTAGATTATCTACAACCGAATGCTAACTGTATTTCTGACAGATATTCATTTAGTTATATTTTGTTATATTATCATCACAGAATTTTCCTCTAATGATAAAAACTGGATTCTGATACTAAGTGCAGCTTCTAGAAAAGCTGTAAGAAGGAAGTTACTGAAACTAGAAAGACCTACAGTGGACGGATGCTTGGACGTTATTTATAACATCTTTAGGCGGAAAGAATTGATTTTGTTTAAAGACTAAAAAAGGAAGTTATCCGTTCATCCTTTCTGCAGCTCTGCTATCCGTTCATCCTTTCTGCGGCTCTGCTATCCGTTCATCCTTTCTGCGGCTCTGCTATCCGTTCATCCTTTCTGCAGCTCTGCTATCCGTTCATCCTTTCTGCGGCTCTGCTATCGTTCATCCTTTCTGCGGCTCTGCTATCCGTTCATCCTCCTGTTTTTCCCAGCCTGCCGTTTTCAGCCCTTATGCATCAGTAAAGTGTTTACTGCATTGTCTCGTTGTATAACAGCTGCATCACTATGGAAGAGAATCGTTACCATATTTCAGATGAAAAAGCATTTTCACAAATGCTTTTTCATTTTAAGAATGTGGTTGCATTGTTTGACTCATAAATGAAATTATTAATCAATCATCCTATTTTCATTTTCTTCTTTAAGAATTGCTCATTTTATGCCACAATCAAAGAGAAAACACAGCAGACGTTTTGTTTTCCATGGTCTGCCTGCAAAGTACCGTCAAAAATCAAAAAAGAAAAAGCTTTCTGAGCGGCGGGCGCAGCGGAGTGACGTCAGCAGCCGCTCTTCCTCAGGTCCCATCTTGTTACGTTTAAGCGTGGCGGCGGGAAACTGGTTGAAACTGGTCTGACTATCGGGTCAAACTGCTGGATTCTACCTGCTCAGCTAATTCTAAAGTGTTTGTACGGTTGGAGGGAGATCCATGACCTGTGATGCTACAGACCTGGAGACAGGTTACCATGGTGACAGAAAGTCTTTGGAATCTGACTAAAGCAATAATTAATACAATGTTTATGAAAATGAACCAATGAAAGTCGGACGATTCATTTCAGCCATGATTTAACAGAAAGATTAAAATAATAAACTGATGAAAAAGACCTGCATCAAAATAATTGGTCGTCTGGAAAACCCTGGAAACAATGTGATCAAAGGGACGTTAGGTCAAGGTGTGTCCACCAATCAGCATCACAGGTCTCTGCAGTCTAGCAACCAGGCAGTGGGCCTATATATAAGGCTACAGGTGGACACTGTTTGGTGACGTGGTGCGTCTCACACTCAACATGGACCAGAGAAGGAAAGAGTTGTCTGAGGAGATTAGATAG